AAACAGACCGTCATTTTTAGTTTCCGACGATATCTTGCATATACTAGCAATCCCTCTCGTTTTGACATCTTTTAATACATTATTAACATCCGACTTTAGTGGCCAATCTTTCACGTACTTGCAAATCACGCAATCTTCGTCGATATTTACATTAGCCGTTCTATAAAAATGTAATTAGAATCAATCAACGATCACAAGAATTTCACAAAATATTCTCTAAAACGAGTCGATGAAAAAAAAAAAATTGTTTCAAAATTAATATATGAGAAATTTAATGAAATGGACAACTTATCTCATGAAAGTAGCTTCAAAATAGTGTGATACAGTTCAAGTATATATCAACGTTGATAAAATCGTCACTAAGCACTCGCTATAACTGTTGAATATTTCGTAAAAACAAACGAAATTATTACAAATCCACAAATTAAAGCATAAGATTAATTGACCATATCGACTGTAAAACTGTATAACAGTAAAACTCGAATAAAAACATATACTCTTATTCTCTTTGTTATTGTTATTACGAATGAAATTATCTTTCAAAATAAAAAGTGATTTTTGTTTTATAACTTGTATACAAACAACCAAGCGAAATAAATTAAATATTGACAATACAACTTTAGAAGACAAAATGATTGGGGCCCGCCCTGGGCACCAGGTACACGGTAATACATTTTTACAGTGATATTCGTTTTCAGCGACCCCAAAAACCCTCATGTAACGAGCTTCAACGAGATATGTTGAATATTCCCATAAAACTCCAGGAGACGAGGTATATAGGGCCCGCCCTGGGCCCCAGGTACATGGTAGAAAATTTTCGTTGTGATATTCATTTTCAGCGACCCCAAAAACCCCTGAGTAACGAGTTTCAACGAGATATTTTAAATATTACCATGAAACTCCAGGAGACGAGGTATATAGGGCCCGCCCTGGGCCCCAGGTACATGGTAGTACATTTTCGTTGTGATATTCGTTTTCAGCGACCCCGAAAACCCGTGAGTAACGAGTTTCAACGAGATATCTTAAATATTACCATGAAACTCCAGGAGACGAGGTATACAAGAGTCACCCTGGGCCCCAGGTACATCGTGGTACATTTTCGTTGTGATATTCGTTTTCAGCGACCCCAAAAACCCCCGAGTGCAGAAATTAGACTCATTTTTACCTATATTTAGTGAAATACACATATTGACCAAGTCGTGAGTTCAAGATGCATCCCTGAAATGCGTTTATTGCACCCCCCGGGTGCAAATTTTCATTTGTCCCTCATAAATTTTGTTCACAAAGTTTCTAGACGCTCTTCCGAATCGAATGCCGAAAACCGCATCTCAATCCGACTTACTGTTCAAAAGATCGGAGATTTGGCCGTTTTTTGTGCTTTATTTCCTCGTCTAATGGTAGTCTGACACAAAGCTTCCCGAGGCCCTTCCTCGCTTTGCTTGTCGAGATCGAGTGTGTCCAAACAATTGATTTGATGGTGGTAAGTTTCTTGCGCTAGAGCTTGCGAGCTTGCAAGGGTCAAAATGCCGCAAGTCAAATACATGTAAACGCGCACGTATATACGGACACACTAGTGCGACTCGAGACAAACGCGTTCACTCTTGTATCGGGTGCTTCAAATAAGACACGATGGAATTGGCAGTTATTGTCAGTAGCAATGCGCTTCGCTGTGCCAACGGTATGCAGCGTGTGCACGATTTGCTACGGAATTTCGCACGCAAAGTCGTTGTCGTCATCGACGGAGATGCGCTTGCCAATACATCGACCTCCCCCTTTCCAAACTTTTTCACACTCTATACACGGAAGGACTGACGGAAAGCATATTGAACGGTGCTCATTTTTTTCGTTTACGAATTAATGAGTTTACCCGAAATACGTGTTTTTAATATACACCCGAACATTTATTTTACCACTTGCAGATTTACAAGGCGACATCTGTTGATAGAATCAAAAAGCTCACAATCAATTGTGACACCTTTGATTACCACTACTCTTGTTACAATACGAAAAAAATTCTGTACATTAAGGGGAGGCTCTCATGAGACACGATCAAAAAATCGATTTTTTTTTTTGCTTACTTAGTTAGCAAATGTCCCGTAGAATACACCCCCGAAACCCTTTTTACCAAAATCGATTTAGTTAAAAAGTTATAGGCAAAAAACCGAAGCTGTCTTTTTACGAGGGAACGATGTATGTATGTATGTACATTCATTTTCTAAAACTTTAAACGCGTTTTTCTCGAAACTATGTTTTCTGGATCGGGCGGCAAGATATCTCGAAAAGTATTGCACTTAGAGATACGCTTTGTTTTTTATTTTAAAGCTAATTAAATTGTCTGGAGGTTGACCCTTTAAATTTAAAAATTTTTCATTATTATTACTTTTTACAGCCCTTAAAAGAGCCAAAAAAGGGCAAAAAAAAGAAATTTTTTTTACGAAGTCCGTCATTTTATCAATTTTTAATTTTTTTGCAATTATTTAGGTTCAACCTCCAGCAAATGTCATCTAGTTTAAGAGGAACTTTGAGTTTTTAGTTTCGGGCAAAAACTGAAGGCGCTAGCTTGCCGCCCGTTGAGGTACCTTTTTCTAACACGACCTCCATCAAACGCTGCTAGGCGATAAATAATTCGATATTTTGGTCTGAAAAAATTCGTGAATATAGTTGAATACATACTTTATGAAAAAAAATCACGAAAAACATATCATTTTTTAGGCGCTAGAAGAGAGCCTCCCCTTAATCTTTATTTTTCTTACAAAAGTAGAACTCCTATTAAAAATGAAGAGAAACCTTAGACAACATTCCACAAAAAAACATTTATATGTTGTAAGGGTGACAAGGCAAAGAATGAGAGTCTTACACAACGAATATTTAAATTGTCAGAAAGACCTTTATTGAATTTCTCTGGTCAACGACTGCTTGTCTGATCGGCTTACTCGCTCTATTTATATACAATACGTCAACGTACGATACTGCATATTTGCACATATACCTTAGAATGTGTTGATGTGTTCGACTTTTATTAAAATGTATTAGCATTGCCTATTTTTACATCATGGGATTTTTTTGGCACCGAGGCTGACCTCACACGGACTAGTACTACTAAATTTTGTACATTCCTAAATTTCAATTGGAATAATCCTGTTTACAGTGTAAAAACATTGATTAAATACTTCTAGTTGTTGGACGCCACTTTTCCATACATTTCTTACAGCTATACATGGCAAACACTATTTCCTAATAGCCAGTATACATAGCACCAAGGTCTAATGAAATTTCTCTCAAAGCAAGTTATGCGCTCACTTGCTAAGAGCGTATATATACAGTATGTAAGAGAGACAGACTGATTATTGCCATAAGTTTCAAGTCTACGTCTACGCAGCCTCCGTACACAAACACTACCTATAGAGTATTCATGTATGTGTGGATGTGTGTAGGTGTGTGTACATCAAATTGGCTAGAGAACAGCCCATGTATATTGGTTTCGCGTGCGGCGTGTAGTCTGCGGCTCAGCAGTATATACGAGGCTGAGAACGGCATTGTTTCCTCACGACAACTACGCGTACAGATGAGTCGACCAAGAGAGTCTAGATGTCCGCGAGAGTTAATTGAAGGAGACGCTGTTGGCGTGGATAGTATATTAATAAACGGCCGTCGTGTTTCGACCCAGGATTACTCGAACTGGCTATTACATGTATTTGTTTTTTTTCGCATGTCAATAAGCGCGGACGCAGGCATCGCTGCATAGATTGACGGATTCAATATTCGTATCGTTCGCGATTCCATATCGCAGTTTTTTCCTTCGCTTTACCTCCCCTTTTTTCCATTCACGCGAGTATTACAGTTTCACAAAAACTGGATTTCGGTCAGATATCAGTCGAGAGATTTCAAGACCAATTTTTTCCCCTTTCCTTCGTGGAATCGTGCTTTTGCTCTCGAGGTCCGCTCTCAACTCCCATCAGGCGATATTCGAATTGGTCATGTTCGCTATATTACGCGTAACATCATGCCTCCTGCCAGTCTGGCGTAGGCGGAGTTTTGTTTAATGCAAGCGGGTGAGCGCGAGCGAGCGAGTCCTGTATACAAGGGGATTCCTGCCTCGGAGGCACACCAATCGAGCTAATCACGATATTGCAGTCACCGATATAATAATGACCCCGTCGTTCTCGTCGTCGTCGCAGAGCGGAGCCGCAGCACTGCCACGGTACACCCCGAAATTGTTAATTAACTGTAGAAACACGCCTCTTTTACAAAGTAGCCGTCGAGCGTACGTCCTAGTCCGAAAGGAAATTAGAGTCATTTATTGGCTCGGTCATCATCGCGGACTCCTCTCTCTCGCTCAATCTCTCTGCACGCAGTGCGCCTGCAGCGCATGATGATTAATTTGTTGACTGTGATCTCGCTCGTATACATAGACATGCACGCACTCGCGTGCACGAACTCGAGTATTCACACGCCGAATACACATTGTTTGCCACCTTGTAATTTCATTTGATGCCTGATCAGATGTAACGCGTTCGTTTTAGGATATTTTCGAGCTGTTTCCGGGTAGAGATGTTCAACACGAATAATAGCTTAGTAACGAAAAATTATCATTTGAAATTTTTTAAAACCTACAACCATTTATCGGTTTGTTTTTGGTGGATTTTCTGTTGCAACTATATTATAACAAGCATTTTAAATAATCGGAAATTATAATTACATTTGCGTATATCATTTCAAAAATGTAGACTAGTTTTCATCCACTTTAACTACGACAATGCTACTTTCAGATTTCGCCACTAGATGGCGAGCACTATTATGCCGGTAAATCTGCAAATCGCAAAGTCAAAAAATAATACATAAGTCTAAGTATGAATACGTAAAAAAGCAAGTAGTATTTCAGCGTCATGACAGTTGAAAAGAAAAACAAATTGGAAGCACTATACATTTCAAGGAGTTCATGTAATTATGCTAGTCGTGGATGAAAAAAAGTGGTCAGAACAATTAGTTTGAATACTTACAAATGTGATAGAGAACCAAGTTGTTTTCCGTACTGCCGTGATACCTTTGGAAGGCTTGATTCGTCGGCGCGAAGACCGTCACGTGCCTGTGCATCAGCGTGCTGTTGGCTATTGGATTGCTCTCGAGCAGTTGATAAAACTGAAAAAGTTCGAAATAGCTCGTTATAATTGATAATTGATATTGCAAGTCTTATTTTTGAAATTACACAATTGGAACAATAACTAAGCACGATACTAAAATATCTTTCAATAATTGTACTTTTCAGGTTTCGCAAAGCATTCATCGCAGATAATAATGAAACATTTCTATAGATTCTCCACTCAGAGAAAATACACTGTTTATGACACCTCAAAGATCTTCAACCTACTTTCACGCACTCGTTTGAAATATTCTTGTTAATTATTGAGTCTCGCAATTAGCTCGCTCAAACGTTAAGTGTGACAAGGACTTTGACTCGTGTTATGTTTCCTCTCTATCTCTTCTATCTCTAACTCAAACACAAAGAAAAAGTCGGAGAATCCGAAGAAGAAAAGACAGAAGAAGCGGCGGGCGGGCGAGCGCGCGCACAAACGATGAGGAGCACGCACAGTGGCAGAAGCGAGTATATATATCGTCTCAAAAGGACAAGAGACGAAAAGCCTTTAGTTCGAGTTTTAATGGGGAAGAGAGATCAAAAGCAGGTATATAAATCCGCGTGTATTTTATAGGATTGTGCTTTTGATCAAGGCATTTCCTGTGAACTGCTGCTGCTGCTGCTAAAGTCCGCGATCACTAGCGCACGAAACACTACCCTCCCCGCAGATTTACCCAAGAACGTACACCGGCGGCATGGAGGCTATCGTATTTTTTTTCTTTCTTTCTCTTTTCTTTTTGCTCTACTACAGGCGTATCGTTAAAATATTTCGACGTCGATCGTCCGTAAATGTTTTTTAACCCCCTCTGGAAATAATGGATTTGACAAAGAGAGAAGGGAATATAGAGCGAATATATATGCCAGCGGAAAGAGAGAAAAGATTTTTTCTATCAATTTTTTTTTTACACATAGACCTGAGCTATATGCGCGCCGAAAGGTTCGATTCACAATATTCGCCCATTGAATGGATCTATGCGGCAACAGCAGCAGCAGCAGCAGCAGCAGCAGCAGCAGCGACGGCAGTTGGCTATACCCAATCGTCCGTAAGTCTTGCGTATTTAATTAGCCCGAGCGGATTTTTCGAAGTTATTTAGATTTATTTCGTGGCTCTACTGCGGCCTATATTCACGTACGTTCGCGAAGCTTAATTGCCAATTTTACGGAATGCAAATAGTCTTTTCGAGCGAATAGTCTTTCCGTAACATGAAAATTTCAACCATTATATCTATCCAGTAACGCATAAGAGCAACGGTAATTCCAGCTTATCCCTCTGTAGCTGCGCACGTAAACCGCACATATACTCGTAACTATACAACACTTTTCTCGTATATACCAAGGGTTTTTCCTATAAATATATCGCGTACGCTAAAGGTCAGCTCGTGCAGTGCTGCGCAGGATTTGAGCCTTCTCTTGTATATATCCCGGCGTATAGCGCCGTATTTGCGCACGCGAGATCGGCATGTGTTGGACCTGCGCTGCAGGCAAAAGCTGGCAATCGTATTTTTACACGATTCGCTCAGTGCGCGGAAGTCGAGGAGTCATGTGGCTGGGCGAGAAAAAAAGTCACGTGCGCTCGTAAACTCACGCTAGGATTTTCGCCCTCCTGCATGTGTGTACAGCGCCAGCAACAGCAGCACAATACAGCCGAGAGTGTACAGAGTAGCAGCAGCAGCAAAAAAAAGAAAAAGAAAATAAACTGTGAATACGCGGAGTCATGAAAAACTTTGCCCGCTCGCTCGCGCGCGCATGTCGCTTTTTTCGGCCCTATCTCATTTTTATTTGCCGCGCGCTGCACTTTGATTTGCACTTTTTACAGGTAAGATGTAAATAATATAAATGAATTGCATAAAAGAGGAGGAAGAAATAGGATTAGTAGCGTAAATTTAATATTTATCTGGTGGCTGAGATGTATAACCTATTACACGCTTTTAATAATATACGTCAAGATTGCGTAGCCACATAAGCGAATGCGGTAACTTTATATTTTATCTCATTAACTGCAGTTATATGAAAAAATTCCGCAAAAAAAATCTCGTAGAATTTGAATAAACACGCTTCGTCGTTATATACTTAGCGCAGTAATGAATATTAAATTCACTACTTATGGCGTTCATACTACCGCATAAAAGTTCGGGTTCTCGATTTATAATTATGCATGCTCCGTGGAAATAATCGACGCTCGCTATATCAACAAAATTTTTCATATAATTGTTCCTCTTTGCAAGAAAATCTTGCGCGTATATAATAATTTTGCGACGCATTCAAAGAGCATTGCTACAATGATAATGCTCGCGCGCACACAGAACACGAAGTACGTTCAATTTTAATACTTTTTATGCAACGTATAATCCGGCGTCAAATTAAAGCTCGACAGACGTTTTACAAAGTGGAAAGGAAAACAAGCGTCGGCGGCAACGACGAGTCCCAAAGAAAAACAACAAAAAGGACTCCTTCGGCGCGTGCTATATATATATATATCTATACGCGCGTATATGTATATTAACTTGATGAATTATTCGGCCTTATGCAAATGCGTATACGTGCAAAAGCAAATTAAAAACTGTATAATTACCGGCTAACAATGTGGTACTAATTTTCTCTCTATTCTATAAAACTATATGTATACGCGGGTTTTCGCGTGGGGATTAAGGGCACAGAAGCAAAGATAAAGAGAGAGAGAGAGAAAAAGGGAGAGAAAGGATACGCGCGTGGTCGTCGCGGCGTTCATCCGCAAACGAAAACGTAAACAAGAGATCAAAAGGTCCAAGTATAATTGGCTGTGTCAAAGAAAAATATGCATCTCTCTGCGGTATCTTGCAGGATGGGGAGCAAAAAAAAAGGAAGAAGAAGATGGAGTGGCCTTCAGCGCATTGTCACGTAACGAGGAAAATGATAATAAATTGGAAATACGTCGAGAGCTTTACCTTAATTAATTGTGAGTCGTGCGGAGCCGCGCCGTTCTTTATCGACGTTATCGTATACTCGGGTAAAGGGCGACACTACTGCAGCGCACCGGAAAAAGAGAGATACTGCGCTGTAAGAAACAATTTTTTTGTGCTGCGTCGAGCGCGTGTTATCCTTTCTTTCGCCGCGATAAAGAGCGAAGATTGCACGTGCAGTGTGCAAGCGCGAACTTATATATAGTACAGCGGAGCAGCGGGTGTACATTTTTTGCGCATGATTGATGCTTTTCCGTAGAAAACTTTTTAGCTCGGCACTGCGCTAGCACGAAACTCTCTTTCTCTCTCTCTCTCTCTCTTCGCTGCAGCTTTTAGACTCTCTTTGCGCGATAGTACAGTATAACGCTTTCGTAATATAACAAAAAGGAGTTTCTCAACTTTTTAAATATCGTTGATCCGTATACACATGCACACACTAGCACACCATTTGTACGTCTGCGCTTGCGAGCTTCAGCCGTTGGATTATTATATACACTATCTTTTCAACATTTTTTAATTGCTCTGGCACGCTCAAGATTTACGACTACTGTGCTGCGCAGCACCTATAGTCAGCTCACCCCCTTACATACGCTTTATATATTTATCGCCGCGAAAAAATACCGAGCTTTTTCAATCGTCTTTTATACGAGTGAAATCGATTCTCGGCTCTCGCCTCGTACAGTCGAGTTTTTATGCACCAACACCAAGTTCTTCTTTTTTTTCGTGCACTCTCTCTCTCTCTCTCTCTCTCGCCATTTCTCTCGCCCGACGTATTCAAAAGTGGCGCAAAGAGAGCGAGAGAGCGTAAGCGTGGAGTACGTTCACCCCTTGCCGCTCGGGCTTGCTTTCATTTCGGAGTCTTTGGTTCGAGCTGCTTTTTTTTCGCGCACTCAATTTTCGATAAGCACCCAGCGCGCACCGGTGCTACAACGCTCCAGCGCTTTAATGGATTATATGCATAAGATTTGCCTCTCGTTATGTGTATATGTTACGGAGAGAGAGAGAGAGAGAGAGAGAGGGAGAGAGAGTCATGTTACACGGTGTACAGAGAAACTCGCGGTATATTTAATGCCCTATGAATATTGTACTTAATGAAATTGTCTATGCGCGGTGTGCTTACAAAGAGGAGAGAGAGTTAACAACTATTTCAATGTTACACGCACTCATTATAACAGTTATGCGCGAGGTCACGCGGATACCTGCTTATAAGCGATATAGATAATGAGTCCAGTGGTGCAGACAGCGTGTGTGTAGCTGTACTCTGTGTCGTGGGTTCGCAATTAGGCAAACGATTTTCTAGTTTTACCATTATTTACCTTTCAGTATTTGGAACTGATACAAATTCTCTACAGTTTTCCCGTGTCTTTGATTAATTATATTATTTTGATGTATTACACATCAAAATATGTGTAGGTATATATCATGTGTATATACGAAAAGCAAATGGAATGAATTATGATTTTACGCTCATAATCATACGCTTATAGACGAGAAACTTAGAGAGGTAAGGGGCTTTCATAAAGGGTTATTTTGTGGGTTTCGAACCTGTGCAAACGCTCGCGCTCGCGCGAGCTTGATTTTCCACCCACACGCACGCACGCACGCACAAAGGTTCGAGAGATGGAACGAATTTAAAGGTATGAACGCGCCGCAGAAACGAGTCATGTTTATATATCTGAAATATTTATACGCTCGCGCATATTACGCGTTCACTTTAATATGCACATTTGAATTATACGGGCTTTTGTATACGGCGCTAAATTACTTCGCGCTGCAACAAATACAACGAACAATTTTGTTCTTCGCGAAAATTTTGCACGCGAGGGCGTCGTCGTATATTTGGCTTAAAACCGTTGAGACGCACGCCGATGGATTAATTTAAGCCAATAGTATATATCTGTGGTGGAAAGGCATAACGACTTAAGTCCATTTTTTTGAAAATCGATTTTATGATGAAAAACGTCTATATTTAGTGTCTATTTTAATGTACAAGGGTCATAATAGACGAATATAGCGTCTAGCGTTAGTTTCAGCATCGTGCATAACGACTTAAGTCCATTTCGCGAAGATTGGGAAAAGGCAAAACGACTTAAGTCCACCCTTGCGAGTTTCAAAATGCTATAGAGAGTCTGATTTTATTTGAAAATGAAAGAAAATGATATTAGATGTCAAACATAGCTCCACACTCTTCGAATGTTGTGAATTACACTA